TGCCCTTCATGTCGGACATAGCTGTCCCCACTTATCCAGACTGTAGCAGGATGGTAAAAACATTGTAATAGAGGGTATGCCTATGATGTCACAGAATGCAGTTACGCTCCCTGAGTGGCAAAATGGGAAAGTGCTGGACCACTGGTTCTTTGGTAAGCAGTAAGGATCACTGTCGAGTCCGACTGCCTTTAGTGTGAGCAAATCGCTTGTTTTACTCCCGGTTTGCTAAACACAGCCATGGTAACATATGTTTTACCACTCAGTCCAGCGTGTTCCGGAAGGAGAACACACTGACATCAGTGACATCAACGCATACCCTTTATCCATAGTGACATCACATTCCAAGGAAAACATTCCCTTGAAGGGCAAAAAAGATGTTAGCTGTGTCTCAATTCAGGGACCGCATCCTTCGAAGGCTGCATTTGAATACGTCACAGTCGATGCGACTAGGCTGTCCCATTTTCAAGGCTCCTTCAAATGCGGCCGAGAAATGCAGCCTTCTTTTCCTCCGTTTGGAGGATCCAACAGCTGGATCCTTCGCAGCCCCAGGTGTCCCGAGATTCATTGCGCGCCAGTTGATTGTTGTAGTGTAAATAAAGGCGTCGCCTGTGGCTGTGGAGTTGAGCCCCCCCGGATTTTACCTATAAATGTAAGTATTGGATTTCAACTCACTTCAAAGGCCAACAAATGTATAAATAACAAGAGGCATAAAAGCGCAATGTGTTGTTTAAAGAATAGTATTGTGGAATAAGTTTACGTGAGTTAAGTGATTAACTGGGCAGCTAACATTACCTGAGGTTACTGATGTGCTAACGTTAAAACCTCAAAAAAAAAGCCTGTAACGTCTTCACTTAAACTTGAGTCAGACCTACATCATTCCGAGATTGTGGCGATATTATACATCACTTGTACATAAAAATACCACGTGACGTTGGACTAATTTAACGTTAGACAGGTTGTGAACCCTGCTTGGTTTTCAGACAGTTAACGTTACAAAAACCTTTGGATATAGTACACGGTTAATGTAAGTAGGTTATTTTACAATATATGCTGCTTTTTGTTTGGTGATGTGTTTTAGGGAGCAAGGAGCAAACTGCCAACAAAATTTTCCACCAACGTGGCTTGGAGTTAATTTAAGTATTGACCCTTTTGTAATATCTGCATTTAATCATCGGGTACTTAAAGTTACAGTTAAATGAGCCCCCCTTCCTATACAAAGCCTTTAACTATAAGACAACTAGTAGATAGAGCAACTCTTTGTTGTGTTTTTGTGTCTGTGGGGGAAGATGACTTCCCTCCAAGCAAAAAAAAAAGTGGGACAATCTTATTTTGACAAAATAAATCTCTTCAAATTATTTCAACAGGCAAAATTGTTAGGATATGAATAGGAATTTACCGAGCTTTTACTTGCCTGTTAAAAATATTGGTGGTCAGGGGGCACCTCCTCCAGGGCAGACACCTCTGCAGACAGCTGGTCATGCCAGGGAGCACCACTGACCGTCTCCAAACCGTTCTCCCTCTCATCCTCTGCCACATCTTCCTCAGGCTCATCCTCTGGAGCCACAATGTCACCAGCCCCAAGGCAGATGTTGTGGAGGATGGCACATGCTGTTATGACCTGAAATGGTTAAAAATATATTTCAGTCTGGGGGGGAAAAAACAAACATTTATGCTTTTTGATAAATCAGTCTGTTGACTTACGCATTAGTATAATTTTTTTTTTAAACTCACGTGAGGTACAAAGGTGTGGTGCACCTCCAGCGCTTTTAGGAAGATGGCCCAGAACCTGGTCTTCATCATCCCAAAAGCACGCTCTATAATGGATCGTGACCTGAGTGATTGCTGTTGAAGCGCTGGGCTCCCACACCTTGTATTGGCCTCTTGTAGGGAGTGACGAGGGGGAGTGGGTGTTGGAGGCACATAGGTGTCACTGAAGCGGCCCTGATGGTCACAGACAGCCTGCAGGATGATGGATGGAAACAGTTTCCTGTTCCTGTAGCACTGACCATCAGGGCCGCTCGGTGGCTTGATGCGGACATGGCAGCCGTCGATTGCGCCATCTGCTTTAAAAAAGGCTGTGTCTTGCCAGCCCCGCAAACCTACGGGATATCCGTTGTAACTCATCGTGGGTCTTCGTTAGGTGGATGACCTCAGTGACTCTGTGGACGATGCGGTGGACAGTGGATCGAGGCATTGCAAACACTCTGGAGACCGCACTGTATGATGCCCCACTTGCCAGCAAGAAGAGAAACACCAGGGTCTCAATGGTGGCACCCCATCCGTGTCTCCGTTCCTGGTTTAGGAGGCTCAGTAGCACTCCCAGGGCCTCCCTGCTCAACCTGAAATCCGGCCGTGTGTCCTGCTGGCTAAAAAAACCTGTCCAGCACAGGAACTCTCAAATTTATCCTGCAGTACAGGGGCCGGGCTGGTTTAGGGATACAAGGAGAAGAACAACTGTTATGAAGTGTAGAGAGCTTAGTTAGATAAGGCTTTTATATCTTTCTATTCAACTTGATTTAATGACAAAAACGGTGTCAATATTTTAATATTAAAGTAAGGTTAGATTTTCATTAAATATGAAATTATGTTAAAGTTAAATGGCAGTAGCAATAAACTACATTAACTATGGTTTACATCAATGTTAGCTTTAGGAAACGTTTTCTTAGTTACTTTCCCCCACTATTTACCTGGCCAGGGTCCCCTCTCAGCCTGAGATACAACAGGCGGCCGCGCCGGCAGTGAAGTACCTCTAGTTCCTCCTATTATTTTAGTCTCCATATTCGTCTCCATGCCGGAGGACCGCAGCTGTGAAGGTTGCTAGTCGACAGGAGCGGTGCTTCCCCACGCATGGGTAAGGGAGGGGTCAGTTGATGACACAATAGAATCCTCCGTAGACCAGACAGTCTCATTTAACATAGGTCGGTTCAGCCTTTTGCGGCCGTATGCCTTCGTAGGCCACGCACCTCAAAGGATACGGTCCCTGAATTGAGACAAAACTGTTATTTTCCCGCTGCCTGCCAACCAACAAGCAAGTCATACACTGTAACTTTGAGTTTGTTACTTTTTGCGTTGCCAAAATGCTGGATGGTGTGCTTTCGGATTTACTAATCAAGGAAAAGACAAGCCTGAGCTGTGTTAGGGGAGGGATTCCCCACAAGGTAAAAGTAAACATTACCGCAGTTGAGCGCTGACAGGGACCTGGCGGTTTTTAACGTAGGAAATGCGGCAGCGGATGCTTTAACATTATTTGGATCGGATATGCCCGACAATTAAGTTGAAAGGTAATTAAAATAAAATTTGACTGCTTTTGCGGTGTCTCTACGGGGGAGTTGCGGTGTTGGTCTGTTGTTTTGGCCTCCAGGTCACCGCATGTTACGTGACTGAAAACTATGAATAGTGAGAAATGTATCATTGCATTTTATAGAGAAAAGTCAAAACAAACGGTACCATTATTTGATGTGCTCAACTCAATCCATTTTCCCTCGGCTTAATTATTAAAAAGCAGTGCTGTTTTACTTTAAATTAAATAGCAACAGAAAAGTCTCCGCTATTACTCACTTCTGCAGCACTGTGTGGGTGCAGATGCCATGGCGGTTCCCTGATGCAGTGACGATTTTTTCCTGAAAAAGAGAGAGAGATGTTTTAGTACATCAATACATCTAATGAACAGGGCCTGCCAAAATGGCCCAAAAACACCTACCATTACTATTAAAACACACACACACACACACACACACACACACACACACACACACACACACACACACACACACACACACACACTCCTGTTAGTGCCTCATAGTGAGGTCCAGGTTAATTAACTGCTGGAGTGAGGACCACCCTTTCTACTATACTTAGAGACAAATGCATGATAGAGTCCAACACTGGGTGGCACCTTGATGCCAGTTTCCACCTCAGTTCCTTAAAAAACATGAAGGAAATTTTTAATTTTTTTAACCCAGTTTACCACTGGAGTGGGAACCTTTTCAAGGGGGCGCTATTGAGTTCGTTTCAGAATGGACTAGTTTAACTACCTTCTATTTTTAGCATTAAATTTAATAATTTTAATGTTCTAGTCTAACACATTATGTAAAAATAAGTCAGTATGGACATTTTTAAAAAGAATTGCCCAGTCTGAGATTCATAGATAAGCAGAATACCTAAATTTATGGAGGTGACCATCCATTTGACTGCTGTACAAACATACATACTTACTGGTCAATTACTGCTTTACTAAAGTAAATATAACTTGAGCAATCCACATATACAACTTTCAACAAAGCTGCAGGGATATAAAAGAAATCCATTTTATTTATTCATTTAGCTGAAGTTTTTATCCAAAGTGACTTACAATTGCTATACATGTCGGAGGTCGCACGCCTCTGGAGCAACTAGGGTTAAGTGTCTTACTCAGGGACACAGTGGATGGGTCACAGTGGGGGATTGAAGTGCGCTATCACCACCCCCAAATCCATTGTTTATTAAGCATAAACAGAAATAAATTATTCCAGAAACAAACTATTGCCTCTTGTACAACTCAAAAAATACAGTAAAGTGTACTGTATCATAACTACTATTAATTCACCAATTAAAGTGAGGGCCAATATGAAGAAAATTGATATTATCAGACAATCAATTGAAAACGAGGAACACTGTCTTGCAAAGTACAATGAAAACAAAATAATCCTTTGAATTTTTTACAACTGGTTTTGAGTTTTAGGGACGCTGAACACTAGCTTATTGTGGCTAGCCTTGCCTTTTACAGTACATCATCTGACACTATATGGTCCAGGATAGATTAATTTCAGATTATTATCAATCAGTAGTTCAGTAGGAGACTGTAAATGGCAAAAACATTTGGCTTTTGAATACTTAAGAATACGTGAAGCGCCGCTTTGTCTAAGGGTCACAATTGTGTTGTACACAAAGTTTGACATCTTTCCATGACCTTTGAGCCAAGGCCTTTTCTCCATGTATACATTGCTCACAGTCCTTTTTTCCAGGCACTCTACATCGCAGTTCTCTCTACCTCACTCCATGCTCTCTTGCTCTCTCATGTTTGACTTTGTTCTTCTGTGGAAGCCTGGGGGTCTCATCTACAACAGGAACAGACAAACATCACTTCCTATTAGTCGATGAAACCTCAGGTATAATGGATTTTTAAAATGCTCATGTGTATTCAAGTGCTTTAATTAAATGTGACAACCAAGAACTGACAGATGATTGCAACTCTCTTACCATGGGACAAAAAAGGTTAATTGTTAAAGGTCACAAAAATACATTTAATATTTACCAACATCAGTGTTGGGCAGTAACGCTTTACTGTAATATTACTTTTCCCTGTAACTAGTAGTGTAATTGTAAAGTGAAGTGTAGTTACTTTTCTAAAAAACAGTAATATTATTGCTAGTTACTAAGGAAAGTAACGCTGCGTTACTCGTTACTAAACGCACCATCCTTAACATGAATCCACGACTGTGCGGCAGCTCAGCGGTACCGTATGTAAAGACCATAGCATACTCGCTGCTGCTGTTGTGAATACGATATTAGTTAAAAAGTCGGGAGAGATGCTTTGTTTGGGGGCGAAGGCGGGGTGGTAGTGAAAGCAGTGTTTCCCATAATTAGCCTATAATTTGGTTAATTGTCAACGCTGACCACCACATTAATTTTCAAATTTTTTTACTAGGCATATTTAAAATCATATTTGACTGAGGAGCTGTATTGAGGAGCAAATATTCGTGCAGCACCTCCTGGCTTGCGCTGTCTCGTGAACACCGCTGCACAAACTTGTCCAAAGTCTGTGTTCGGTCCCGTTCATACAGTGTTTACTGGGAGGCTGCTGAGCGCGGTGTCGTTGCACGCTTGGCTCCTGTTCTGGTGCCCAAACCAGCGCCGCTCGCTGAGGCCTAAAACCTCCAGTGCCTGAGCAGAGGTGTAACGTTAAACACAAAACACTCCCAGGTGCCGCGAGCTCCCAGTCCGGGCTTAGTCAGCTACGACCACAGCAGCTACTTAGTGGCACTTAGCAGTTACTTTAGCAACAAGTAACACATCTGTTCATCAGCAACCTCCGTGAATCACAGAGAGTTGAGACAGAGCAGCTGGGGGACACGGGGAACTTTTGTTATTTTATGAGGCCCAACAGTTACTGTGTTGCCTTAGTAGACAGCAGAGGACGCAGACAGAACTAAATAGATTGTGCTCTGTAGCACGACAGTAACGATCTCTCTGAAAAGATAGATCGTGGAGACATTTTAATCATCCACGATCTAATATTGCCCACCCAGTAATAAGTAAAGTAATACTTTAAAGGAGTAATAACTAGTAATATATAATAATTTCTGAGTAACTTGCCCAACACTGACCATCATAAATTAGAAAAGAGTTACAAACAAACACTCAAACAAAAGTACACATACACTTACAGTAAGAGTAAAGTAGTACTCTACTTGTCTTTTGACTGAGTTAAAGTATGAAACAAAGGCAGGAGTTTTTGTATATTTCATAATTAAAGCAATTTAACTCACCATCAGTGAGTTCTCCTTATCTCTAACTCAGCGCAGGGGTCAGAACCTCCATCTGAAAAACAAGAGCATACAAAAAGTAACACCTCATACTATATAGTGTGGGTAAGGCTGCATCCTTCTGTGTTTGTTAACTGTTAGAGAGTTAAGGTGTTTCAGGTTTTAAATGGACAGCATCCTTACTGCCAAAAACATACCATCATCCACTGGTCTTCCTCTCTTCACTGTGTGTGGGGTGGAGGTTGAAGTGAGACTTTCACCAGTGGAAAAACAGCAACAGTCATTTATTATTACTCTGTGCTCTAATAAAAACCTAAGTTGCAGAGTACAAAGACTGCCGGTGAATAAAAGGAGTTTTAAAATGACTTGTCTTGACCTTCCAATGTTACTGGCCTGTATGGATCAGTTACACCATTTTCACTATACTAAAACTAGAGCAATTACACACCCAATACCTCCTTTGCGAGCATTTTCTTTCCTTTCTTTATTTTCTTTTGTTAAACATATTTCACATACTTGTTTGTGTTGTTTAGATTTTTTTATATAACACTCGGCTAATTTTGTTAGGCCTTTTTTAAATAATGACTGCACATACAGTATAAACACCGTCCGTGGAAATTGTGGTACTGACAGAGGATTAATCAGATAAGTGCACACTAATAATTATACGAGGACTGAATATCAACTGCTCTTCTAAAGGTGTAACTGTTTCTACAATGTATATATTCGCGCAACATCTCTCGCTCACTCTCCGTCTCTCATGAACAGCGCTGCACAAATCTCTCCAACACAAAGCTGTCAATGTCAGAGACCCACCTTAGTTGGTATAGGGAATTAAATCTGAACGTGTCACTTACAATCGCTGCAGTAGCGGTGACAGTCGAGCTTTCAGTACAACGTAAACAAAGAAAGCAGCATGTAACCTTTCAGTCGAAGTACTTTTGTGCTGAACCCAGCGCAAATCGCTTCTTTTCTGAAAGGTTCTTTATGGAAGGACATAGTCCTTTCAATACCTTCCGTCACTGAACATTTAACATTACATCCGTGTTGAAAAAATGTTGCCAGGTGTAAAACATTACATAACATCAGGAGCTTTTAGACTTTCAGGACTGTAGGCAACCAATTACCTGCATTTCAGTTATTAATAACACTGCATGAATGATGTCTAGATGAGAGTTGATGACAACAATTCAGTTTATTTCCCTCTTAACATTTTCCCCTGGGGAATAAATGAAGTTAATATTCCTCTTATAGTAATAATACTTACATATTATAGAAACACAATTGTTAATGTAATTTAATATTAAAAATCAACTTAAGTTATTACTAGTGAAAATTAATGCATAATCGTGAAACCGTGATTATTTCTCTGACAATAATCTGTAATCGTTGCATCACTATTGATGATAGGGCTGGGAAATCTGTCACAATTTAGGGTGCTATGATTACATAACAATAATATTCCCAATGTATCTTTGTGGGTATAAATTTTTTGTTCCATAGAATTACTTTATGAATGACCACATTCATAACAACCTAATCATTAAAACCAATATAATAATCACTTATTTCCATTTGCTTTATTAATACAATCAAAGTATGAAACTGAATTGAATCTTGACTAATAAACTGTTGACATCTTTGAACAGACTCCACTTATTTTTCAGTAGGTCGTTTACTTGTCATCCACTCTCAACGTTTTACCCGCATTACGACTGTCGCAGCAAGAACTGCATGGTATCTACAACTTTGCAAGTTGACAAGGCACAGCAACAAACTGACTGCAGTCCCACTGATATCTTGCTCTCAGGATTGGCCAAAAAGTTGCAGTCTCTGCCTGGGACTCTACTTTCATTTAAAAAAGAAAGAACAGAACGAGCAGGGACTGATTTGAGTTCATGCTCAGGACAAAGGCTTTTTTACATAGTCATTTTAGTAGTATAGTGTTGAATAATACAAATAAATTATGTTAATAACTGACAATTAACGTAAAAGTTAATTTACCTTGAAGAAATAGTTTTTTGGGGGAATACATGTATTGTCTTTCTTTCTGAGGGTTTATTGAGAAGATCAAATCACTTTAGTGTGCATGCTGAATATAAATAAATCTATATTATCTAAAGCTAATTGGCTGCTGGCTCTAACTCCATATTTAGTGAATAGACATGACAGTCCTTTACTTTTCTCATCCAGCACTTGGCGAGAAAGTGAATAAGCACACGTACCAAAATGTTGCAACTGTTCTAACATGTCATAATATAACATCCATAACTTCACTAGAAGTTTTAGTCCGTGTACACGGTGACAGTGTGCGTACTGGTCAGGACTGGTAAATGAAACTGTTGAAACACTAGAGACTGGCTTGTGCTGAGTAGGGATGCAACAATTACAGATTTTGTTGGTACGATTATAGTCAGAGGAATAATCACGGTTTCAAGATTATCATGATTATTATGCATTAATTAATTTAACAACACTAGTAATTACTTAAGTAGGTTTTTAATATTACATTAACAATTATAAAACTATAATATTTAAGTATTATTATTAATATAAGAGGAATATTAACTTTATCTCCCAGGGGAAATCGTTATTGGGGAGGGGAATAAACTGAACTGTTGTCATCAACTCTCATCCACATGTATAAGTTTTAGTGAAAATGATGAAAGAAATTGAGAACATGTCTCATGCAGTGTTATTAATAACTGAAATGCAGGTAATTGGTAGCCCACGGTTCTGGAAGTTTATAAGCTCCTGATGTTCTGTTAGTGTTTTACACCTGCAATATTTTCTCAGCACAGACAGGAGGAGGCAACAGGATGTTAAATGTTCACTGACTGAAGGTCGGCAGAGGACAACGTTCTTCCATAAAGAACCTTTCACAAAAGAAGTGATTTGCACTGCGTGGAAGCTGGGTTCAGCGCAAAAGTTCAGCTACTTTGACTGCTGCTTGCGTGCGAGCTCGTCAAGCTTTGGCGTGGCACAAGCCATTGAAAATAGGCCTCCATAGCGCAGCGGTGCTGTCGGTTACACCTGCTTTGTTTGTTTATGTTGTACTGAAAGCTCGATCTCAGCGCGACAGCATTGATTGTAAGTGTCACAATTATATTTAATTCCCCAACAACCTGCCACATTATTTAAATCAGTTATTATGTATTACCTTTACTTACTTATTTTAAAACAATTTTAAAATGGGTCGCCAAATTTCCTTGGGCAGCTGTTAATCTACCTGGGTGGCCCGCCCAAGTAAACCCTATGTGTGGGAAACGCTGATTAATTAACCGTGACGTTTTAAAGCACGGTTAATAGTGAAATCCAGCAATCGCTACATCCCCAGTGCTGAGCAATATCCCATTCAGTCAGCTGTTTACCCCACCCCTTGTAAAATGTAGCTTTTCCACTGCAGGCTATATAAATCCATCTGGCCTGACGTTAGCAGTAAGATTACTGGCAGCTAAACTTCAGGAACAGCGTTAAGATTAAGTACTGTGAAATAATCACAACTTCTAAGCCTGCACATATTCAATTTCTGATTAGGGCTGTACGTAACAATTATTTTTCAAGTCAATTAATCAAACGATTATTTTTTCAATTAGCCAATTAATCTAACGACTAATTTTGTGTATTCTAAAAGGAAAAAAGTTGCCTATTACTCTATTAATATACCAATTTATACAAAATAAATCAAAAACATTCCTAATAAATAAATCTATATTTTAATCATCCTGATGAAGCACATTAGAATAATGTGTGTGTGTGTGTGTGTATAGACTAAATGAAAAATGGTACAGATATTTATAATAGTGTTAATGGTAACCATCGTAATGTTAATGATTATAATAACAATAATAACAATAAGACTAGCAACAATAGTCGTTGCAGCAGAGGGTGTGGAGCAGGAACACGGTGGCAGCAGGTGACCCGCAGCCACAGATCCAGACTCCACAGCTCCAGAGCCAGAAAACCTGCAGGAAGAGAGAGGAGAGGGACGAGAAAGCACAAGACTACCAGAAAGAGGAGAAGTTGTGTTAGTAACATGCAATAATGGGATAAGGTTGCATACAGAGGGAGAGAAAGTAGAGGAGAGAGGAGCTCAGTGCATCATGGGAAATCCCCCGGCAGTCTAGGCCTAAAGCAGCATAACTAAGGGATGGTTCAGGACTACCTGAGCCAGCCCTAACTATAAGCTTTATCAAAGAGGAAAGTCTTAAGCCTACTCTTAAATGTGGAGATGGTGTCTGCCTCCTGAACCCAAACTGGAACCTGGTTCCACAGGAGAGGAGCTTGATAGCTGAACGCTCTGGCTCCTAGTCTACTTTTGGAGACTCTAGGAACCACAAGTAACCCTGCATTCTGGGAGCGCAGTGCTCTGGTGGGGTAGTAAGGTACTATGAGCTCTTTAAGATAAGATGGTGCCTGACCATTAAGAGCTTTGTAGGTAAGAAGAATGATTTTAAATTCTATTCTGGATTTTACTGGAAGCCAATGCAAAGAAGCTAAGACAGGAGAAATGTGATCTCTTTTCCTGGTTCCTGTCAGAACACGTGCTGCAGCATTCTGGATCAGCTGAAGTGTCTTAACGGACTTTTTCGAGCAGCCTGATAATAAGGAATTGCAGTAATCCAGCCTAGAAGTAACAAATGCATGGACTAGTTTTTCTGCATCATTTTTAGACAGGATGTTCCTGATTTTCGCAATATTACGTAGGTGAAAAAAGGCGGTCCTTGAAATTTGCTTAATGTGAGACTTAAACGACATGTCCTGATCAAAGATAACTCCAAGATTCCTCACAGTGGTGCTGGAGGCCAAGGCGATGCCATCCAGGGAAACTATATCTTTAGATAATGCGTCACGGAGGTGCTTAGGCCCCAGAGCAATAACTTCAGTTTTATCTGAGTTTAACATGAGAAAATTACAGGTCATCCAGGTTTTAACATCCTGAAGGCACATTTGAAGTTTAGCTAACTGATGAGTTTCATCTGGCTTGATCGATAGATATAACTGAGTATCATCTGCATAACAATGAAAGCTTATGGAATGTTTCCTGATAATATTGCCTAAAGGAAGCATATATAAAGTGAAGAGGATTGGTCCAAGGACAGATCCTTGAGGAACTCCATGAGT